ATATATATATATATATATATATATATATATATAGAATAAGCACAGACAGCTTATTCTACTAGCACGCGACCTAAGAAATCTCATTGGAACATAAGCTAACCACAGGAAAACAGATATAATCCAAGGAGCACGAATATAATACGAAGTTTAATACGACACACGGACAACTCACCCAGCTGCCATATAGCATCACTTTATTCAAGCTGAAGAAATTTGTTAACGACAGAACAAGTACGATCCAAAGGACGTAAATTTAACACAAAGTTGAAAACGACACAGAGATGTAGTTTTATCCCATATTGCTCGGACAAATCATACGATTCGCAATATCCAGCAACTCGTTGCAACGAGTGAGAAATTTTGAAAAAAAGCGTTTCTACAGCGTGGGCGGGAACGCGAGCCTGTGTTGAATAGCATCAGCTAGCACGGTGTGGTTACTCTCCACCGTATGGTGTACAGTTAGGCGTGACGCAAGCGTGTGCTCGAGAACGGTATGAGATCCCAATTATCGGGTGCTTCCGGTTTCTAAGGGTCTCGGCCGCTCGCCACGAACAACGCCTCTGCCAGGCGTTCGCCAAGCGACGCGATGAAACGCGCTGCCACCAGCGGGAAAAGCATAGAAGCCACTGCTGTGTGAATTGAATCGCGTGGTTAACGTACTGAATGGAATTGCTTCGTAATTTATGGCGATGATTAAGGAGTGTCTTCCGATATTCGGCGTCAATAGGGCAGGGCTACGAACAGCAGTGTTTGACAGTCTCTTAGATGGAGCGTTTCGAGAGTGGAATTTTCGACTTTTACGAGTCGTTTGCACGTGATGTATTCGACGACTTTATTATCCCTTTATTATCCGTGTTTATACGTGAAATATTTTGAAATTTTTTTTTTGTTAATATTCTGATGGAAATATAATTGCCGCGATTGTGTTGATTTGAAACAAATCCGAAAATATATTTATCATGGAATTACAAGTATATATATACACACTGCACATTAATGAACTTCAACAATACACGTTTAATACTTATTGTACGTTTGAAACGATTATTCATGTTGTATATTAATTTTTTTGTTAAACATTCCATTGGAATAAATGTTTCGTCACTTGCATGTACATTTTTGGATTGGTTTCAGACTCGATCAATATACGATGGTCGGATTTAACATTCGTGCAATCCATGTACAATTCCTATAAGCGTTCGAATACTTTCGTAACTACTTACCAGTAGTTAATATAATTAGTTGCATTCAAATAAACTGATTCAGTAGTTTGTGATTTTACAAATTTGTCTTAAATACTCGTGTTCTTTAGTTTCATTAATTCTGAACTTTTGGCATCAAGTTCGAAGTTTTACTACAAATGAAATTCGTCTACATTTTTATTTCCGTTTCATCGAAACGATAGAAATGATCAAGATCTTTCGCATCTCAGATATTTACAGCGTACTTCACAATTCTACGATTTTATTGGCCTCAGTGGATAGAAAATAGGTTTCCTAAGACTGTAGAAGACAATTTACACGCGTTGAAACTTCGTTAGTTCCGCGAGTCCACGTGGATAATCGATAGAACGCAACGTTTTAAACAGTTGGCGTTAAAATTAGAGGTGCGTCAGAGATACGACTGCGAGGCAGTGCAGTCACTCTGCGCGTTATTGCGGAAGTTGCGTTCGAACGATCGTAAGGGAACCGTTCGCGGTGATCCACGACGATCGGATAAGCGCGAAGATCATGGTTGTAAAAGAAGCTTATAAAGCCACACTTTATACGACTGTCCCTGGCTATTCATCTTGGCCCGTGTACGGTGATTTCTGTCTTTTAGAATGTAATATAAAGATAGCCACGTCGGCTACTATGTATATCCAACCTGCGTATTTTTCCTCCGGGTCGTTTTACGCGGGGCAATTAAGATTTCATGGTTTACATCTCGAGTACAATAAGGAAGTGTCGAGGATCATCGAAGGAATTTCTGACTTTATGAATTCGAAATTCGACGTTAAATCGAAACGATGAACCCTAAGTGAACTATGCGTCAAAATACGTACGTGTGTAATTGAATTTTATCGATTAATCGATTAATCGGTGCACAATTAATCAAAATAGATAATTTTAAATTTTTCAATCATAAAATGTTATAATTACGCATATATGTAGAATGTAGGGTATCCCAATTTTTAAAAGTTTTTGAAATTCAAAAATTTTTAATCGGTAAGGGACATTTTAGACGTTTTAGTGAAAATTTTAGAGAAATTCTTGGCAATTTTCTATTGCGAAATAATGTCACAATTTGAAATATTGCAATTTTCGTAATTCATTTTCATTAAATATCGAACTGCGATATCTCACTTTTACATATACACTACTGTGTAATTATAAAATGAATGATATGTACAAATATTCAGGGATTATAAACGTTCTGCACGTTTTTCACCTACAACGCGAGTTCAGATTTCGAGATTAAAAAAAAAAAAAAGACTTTCCTATTTCCTGTCTCTAACGAAAATTCCAAAAATTTTATTTTCAAGGGGCAAAATAAATTCAGCAATCATCCAAGGTACTAAAAATACTGAAAATATGTTGGAACTTTCGAAGAAACGCCGAGAAGATACATTTGAAAATAAATTCGCGGGATATGAGAGAGGAAATCCTACCTGATTGATGTCGCTGCCCAGGTCCCGCGCACTCTTGGCGCTCCTCAACTGATCGCCGCGGTACTCCCTGTACCTGATCGTCACTTCGTCGTCGGTGAGCGCGCCGCTGCCGTTTCCCCTCGCGTTCTTCTTGTTCTTCTCCTCCTTGGCCTTTTTCTCCTTCTTGCTGAACAGCTGCTTCACCTTGCTCATCGTGCCGCTCTTCTTCGCCGCCTTCTTCTCGTACTTCTTGTCGGCGCCGGAGGGCGGCTTCGCGGTCACCGGCGGCGACTTGCCCGTGTCGTTGGAATATTTATCGTACTTCCGTTGCTCGTTCGGCGTCAGATTCATGCTCCTATCGGTGTGCCGTCTCTCGTGTTTGATAAATTGCCTCGTGACGAAACCCTCGTCCTCGGACTCGATCTGTTCCCGGCGATCGACCTCCTGCGAGTCCCGTCTGTAATCGTTCTCGATCCCGGAATCGGCCAGACGATCCTTCCGATCCGAGTCACTGAGTCGTGTCTCGCGGTGTCGCCGCTCCATGTGCGTTCTGGTCTCTTGCCTGGTGTGCCGGGACTTGCCGCCGTCGTGGTAGGCTCTCGGTGGCCTGGCGGGACTCTCGTCGAACGGCTGCAGCCGACCGACACCCGTCTTCACCCGCGGGCTCTCCCTCGCGTCGGAATCGTCGAAGTAATCCAATCGGTTGCGCGACCTTCTCAGAGGTTTCTTCGGATCTTCGTCCAACATTCGACCGTGTTCTTTCCTCAACGTGCGCGACGACGTCTCGTCGTACCGAGTCTCGCAGCGGATCGAGTCCCTGGCTGTGGTGTCCGAGTCGTATCTGCTCGAGTTGTAGCCACCGCGATCGGTCCGTATTCTCGGCGGGGAACTGTCGTAATCGTCGTGAATCGGCTGCTTGCTGCTGGTGTAACGTTGAGTGGTGCGAGTCTCCTTGTAGTACTTGGACTCCAATTGACTGCTGGTCATCTGCGATATGTCCGTGTCGTAGTCGTCGTTCGGGCCCTCGCGCAGGCTGTCCAGGTGTCGTTTCGCGAACGGCGACCTCTCCTTTCGTCCGTTCATCGCCGGGCTGTCAGACAGAAGTGGCCGGCGCACGTCCCTCGCGTTCACGTAATCGGCGTGACTGGTCAGATTCTCGTGCGATCTGCTCGTGTACTCGCTCCTCAGCGCCCTGACGCGCGAATTCTCACGCGCGACCTCGTCCAAACGCTGCGTCGACTTGCTCATACCGCGAATCGACTCGATGTTGTTCTTCTTTTTCGGCAGGTAGCCGTTTTCTCTGACCGGTCGTCTGACCTCTCTGTCCAGAAAGTCGTCGCTCTTGGAGAACTTCCTCTCGGTTGCGGTGAACTTGTTGTTGGCGATCATCGGCGAGGAAATGTTCTCCCTGGGCTGCTCGCCTGGAAAGTGACGAGTGACGGTGCTCTCGCCGGTACGAAGGCCGGACGATTTGCTGTAAGGGCTGCTCGGGG